ATATGATGTATTAAGAACTATGTAATGTTTTGAACGACCAACAATAAATAATAAAAAAAGAAGTCCTATGATTAATTGATTGATATAAATTGATATAAATTAATTGATATAAATTAATTGATTGATTATAAATATGTAGCCAGGCATGGTGGGGCTGAGGCAGGAGAAATGCAAGTTAAAGTTCAGCCTAGGCAATTTATTAAGTCTCCGTCTCAAAAATAAAAAATAAAAAGGACTGTAGATGCAGCTCAGTGGTTCAATTTATATATATGCATATGTATACACGTATGTATGTGTGCGTGCGTGTGTGTGCGTGTGTGTATGAAATATTAAGTCTAGAATTCTGGTCGCAGGGGGATAGGAGTTATCCCGCATGGGCTAAGGTACTGAGAGAGGGCACCAAAGTTCTGGGCCATGGTCTTTTCCCAGCAAAATAAAGGGAAAGGTCCCCTGGGCTGAGGCACATCTGCGGAAACCGGAGGCGACCCGACAGCAGGAGGAAAGCACGGTTCAGAACCGCGCTGCTCGGGCCCTAACCCTTCTTCTCTTCTTTCAGTTGAAAATGTCCACATTGAGACATTCCATCTTACATACGTCTCAGTTGAGTGGGGCTTTGGGTCTATCATCTCAGGGCACAAACACGGCATCCTCGGGACAAATCGTGAACTGGCGCGGTCCACCCACTCTGGGCGTCGCAGAACAGGCGGCGTCCGCCCGGGACCTCTGCGGGAAACCCTCCTGGCCCTCCACAGTCTTCCCGGCAGGACCTCGGCCCATCCCCACAGAAACTTCTAGAAACGCCTCCACTTGGATGCCATTAACATCACAAAGCGCAGCGCGAAACCCAGAGCAGGGCGACCACCTGGTTGCAGCTACTGAGGAGACGCCGCCCCGGCTCCTCCCGGCGGCCTCCGAGGGGCGGGGTTTCCGCTTCCGGCGGCGGATTGTTGACGCCTGCGGTGCTGCGGTGGCGACGGCGCTGTTGGGGAGGGGCCGCTGGGGGAGGGAAAGGCTCAGTGACAGGTACCGCGGAGGGTGCTGCTGAGGCGACGATGGCAGAGGGGCCCGAGGAAGCCCGAGGCCGCCCTCCCGGGCGGGAGGAAGGCGGAGGAGACCACGAGCCGGTCCCCTCCCCGAGTGGCCCCTCCGCCGCCGCCGTCGCCGCCGCTGCCCCCGGCTCCCGGGACGGGYCGCAGGCCGAGCCTCAGGCCCCGGGCCGGCCTCCAACCCCGGGCCCCGCGTCCGCCGCCGCCGAGGAGCCGGAGCCGCCGCGCGAGCCCCGGAATCGCAGGGAGGCGGCCGCGGGGCCGCCGGAGCCGGCGAGCTGCGACGCGCCCGAGGCCGCGGCGTCCCGGGAGAGGTCGGCGCGGCTGAGCGCCCGCGAGTACTCGCGGCAGGTGCACGAGTGGCTGTGGCAGTCGTACTGCGGCTACCTGACCTGGCACAGCGGCCTGGCCGCCTTCCCCGCCTACTGCGGCCCTCAGCCGCCGCCCAGCTACCCCGCGGCCGGCGCCACCTCCCCGGCCGCCGCGCCGCAGCTCGGCTACTACAACCCCTTCTACTTCCTGGGCGCCGGGGCCGCGGGGCCCGAGGCGGCGGCGGCGGCGGCGGCAGCGGCGGGCATCGCCACCCCGGCTCCGGTTGCGGGCTTGGGGCCGCGGGTTGCTCCCGTGCCTGGGACGGTCCGGGCGACACCAGTGACAAGAGTAGGAACCGCGGTGCCTGCGCGGACGGCGAGCGACGCCGCGCGGCAGGCGGGTGAGAGGCGCGGGGTCGTGGGCCGCCTGGGGTCTTACATACGTCTCAGTTGAGTATGTGGGCGGCCCGGGGTCGTGGGCCGCGGTGCCCGGCGCCCGAACGGGTTCCCTCACCCGGGGCCACGGCGCCCCGCGCGCAGCGAATCCCTCGTTGGTAGGCCGCTGCGCTCAGCCGCAGCCCCCGAGGGGGAGACCCCTGGCCCGACGGCCGGCCTGGGCCCCCGATGGCGGGACCGCGCGTCGGGGAGGGTCGCAGACCGAGAGGAGGGATGACTTCGGGCCTGGCCTACTGACCCAAGGCCCTGTGCACCTCGGGGTGGACTAGAATACGCCGAGTTCGTTAAAGCGAATCCTGTGCATGGCCGAGCACTGGTGGATGCCAGAACACGACCCCTGACAGAATTAGGTTGGGAGGTTGATATCAGGGCTTTTTTTGTTGTTGTTTTGTTTTTGTTTTTTAATAGAAAGCAAAACTAAATGAARGTAGCATGTGGGATATAGGGATTTACTTAATACTAGTTGTCCATTCTTAACCTTGATTTTTACTACAAGTGTTAGATTTTGTTTCCTGTATGTGATCATCTAGTTCTTCTAGTCCCTAGTGCARTGTATTGGGCACTCTAGTCATTAGCTAAGAAATCAAATTTTAAACATTAAGGTGAAAGCAAATTGTAAGCTAACTAGTCTTATATAAATACTCTCTAAATAGTTGTTACATTTAATAGTACCCTTATGGAATCAATACCTGATAATTGCTTCAGGTTATATATTTTTTAGAATTATTAAGTTGTGCCCTGACTTTGCTTTTCCCCCTCATTATCTGACTTTGGTTCCCAGATATGAAGTGATTGGGTTTCCTAACTTGATTTGTTTTTTTAATTTGCAGGCAGAGAGTATGTTATTCCATCCTTGGCCCACAGATTTATGGCAGAGATGGTGGATTTCTTTATTCTCTTCTTTATAAAAGCAACCATTGTCTTAACCATTATGCACCTCAGTGGAATAAAGTAAGTGAAGGACATTTGTAGAAAGGTTTTAGTTCTATTTTAGAGTCCCTTTGTTAAGTTCTGTTCAAGCCTGCAAGTGGCTATGTGGGTAATAGGTGTGCCATGGTCATGATTTCTTTATAAGAGCTTTGTTAGAGTTACTGTTTTTTGTTTTTGGTGGTGGTGGTAGTTTTAAAGAAATACCTATAAAGAAGAAAAAAAAAWATTTTTTTTTTTTTATAAATATTTATTTTTTAGTTCTCGGCAGACACAACATCTTTGTTGGTATGTGGTGCTGAGGATGGAACCCGGCATGCCAGGCGAGCGCAATACCGCTTGAGCCACATCCCCAGCCCCAAGAAAAAAAAATTTAATAAACTTCTTTTAAAATTTCTGGTAATTTCACTGTTCAAAAGAAGGTAAAAGAACCTTCCGGGGCTGGGGATGTGGCTCAAGCGGTAGCGCGCTCGCCTGGCATGCGTGCGGCCTTCCAAATCTCATTTGTTCAACTATTCTCTGAGGACAGGAATTAATTTTCCTCTTACTATCCTGTGGAGTCTCCATAGACAAAGACATGAAGAGAACTGGCAGGTGACTATTARTAATAAACTAGTGACATTTCCAGATGGGATTGCTCATACTATCAGACAAATCCCGAGTGAACGGCCAAGCGAGGCATTTACTCATAATAATCATAACAGCAGTTACCACTTGCTAAGCACTGAGGCACTGAGCTTACCTCTGTGGGTTATAGACTGAAATTTGGGCTTATGAGAAGTTAAACCTAGAACTTAGTCATGAAAGTTAGCCGATGTGAACCTGAGTGTTACTGTGCTTCCTCCTTTTCCCTCCTCCTCACAAAACCACCCAATGCCAACTCCTGTGTGTCTAGTTTCTCCTGGATAGCTTGAGCCTGGACCGTTGCCTCCTCAGTGCCAGCTGCTTTGCCTCATCATGGTTTCTCCTTACTCCAGTCACTGTCATCTCTTGCTTGGATCATAGCCAGTCTCTTGTTTTATCTCAACTGAACCTCCTATGTAAAACCAAAGTGATCATAAATTCTGATTCTGCCCTCCCCTGCCTTAAAACCCTTTACTTGTTTCTCTTCACCAAGATAAAGTCTGAATTTCTTCATGTGATTTAACACATGCTCTTATTTCTTAATTACTGTCACTTCTCATACTTAATATCTGAGCCATATCAAACTGCTTATAACCTCCATCACACACTCTTGCTCCACAGCTTTCTCTCCTACTGTTCACTTTCCCTGGAATTKTCTTCTACCTTAGTCTGGCTAACTTCTTTTCATCCTTCAGATCCTAGCTTACGTGTCATTCACAAGGTTAAGTGTAACTGAAATGTTTCCCTGGTATTTGTGGTTCCCTATTACAGCTGGCTTCCTGCTTTGTCATTATTATTACTTATTGTTGTTTCCCTTTTTGGGTTGAATCTCCCTAAAAATAGACACATTTCAAATTATCATTGTATCCCCAGGGCTTGCACAGTATTCACTCATGATGGTGCAATTTTTGTTTTATTTTTTGTAGTGCTGGGGATTGAACCCAGGCCCTTGCTTGTACTAGGGAAGTGCTTTAGCTACTGAGCTATCTCCAGCCCGGTGCATAGCACATGTGGCAGGAACATGCTCCTCCACCCAGCCATGCCTATTTGTTGAACAAGCTAGTAAATGTTTTGTGCAACTAGATGATTGGGACCCTAAAGTTTAGCTTAGAATTTCATTTAAAATTTATGATTTAACAGCTGAACACCATGTTGTACACCTATAATCCCAGTGATTTAGGAGGCTGAGACAGGAGGATTACAAGTTTGAGCAGCCTCAGCAGTATAGACCCTATCTCAAAAATTCAAGAAAAGGACTGGGGATCTAGCTCAGTGCTAAAGTGTCCTTGGGTTCAATCCTCAGTACCACMAAAACAAAACAAAACCATAACTGTTCTTGTAACTAATTCTGAGTAACCCCAAATTATTATTTTGTGTAGGGATATCTCTAAGTTTGCTATGCATTATATAATAGAAGAAATAGATGAAGATACGTCAATGGAAGATTTGCAGAAAATGATGGTTGTGGCACTTATATACAGATTATTAGTTTGTTTCTATGAGGTAAGTTACTGCAGCAAATAATTTTTTTAAGAATCAATCTTTAGATGATCAGCCTTAGTAATGGAAATTTATAATTAATCATTATTTTTCAAGTATTTTTCTGTTTTTCCCACATTTTCTTTAGTTAACTTTTTTTTCAAGGTAAAAAAACAACTTTTAGAAATTGTTTAGAAGGGAGACATTTTATAATTTCTTTGTAGTGTTTTTCGGTCTTAAAAATAAAATTCCACTCGTAAAAATACTGTGACCAATAAATATACTTGTAAGTTGGTTAGTTGAGGACACTTGGGAGTATTTTTCCTTGGGAACAACTTATTAAAAAATATAATGGGTCATAGAGAAATATTAAATATATTCTAGTGTTGCACATATTAAGAGACCACAGAAATAAATGGCTATCCTTTGAGTATTCTTTTAAGTTGAAAATTTTAAAATATGAAGTAATAGGAAACTTATCTTTAAAATTGGTATAGTTGAACCAATAAATTATTTTTTAATTTTCCTTCTTTCCTTAGATAATTTGCATTTGGGGAGCAGGTGGAGCTACCCCCGGGAAGTTCCTGCTAGGGCTTCGAGTTGTGACATGTGATACATCAGTGCTTATTGCTCCAAGTCGAGTTTTAGTGATTCCTTCCTCAAATGTTAGCATTACAACGTAAGTCCTTTTCTTAGCTTCATCTACTATATATTTGGGAAAGTGTATATTTTAGGTATATTTTTGCACTGCATAATGTTTTGGTCAAGGATAGACCACATACATCACAGTGGTCTCATAAGATTATATTGACTAATGTCTTTGTGTGGGAATCTTAGTTTTGTATAGTACATTTAAGATTTTTATATAGTGAACAAAATCACCTAATGATACATTTCTCAATGTGTCCCTTCTTATGTGACACAGGACTGTATTGAATATGGCATAAGTTATAATATTTTTAGAATATTGAATTTAGATTATTCTCACTCTTTATGACATATACTGCAATTATTAAAGGGTTTGTGAACTTTTTTTTTAATTGGTTGTTCAAAACATTACAAAGCTCTTGACATATCTTATTTCATACATTAGATTCAAGTGGGTTATGAACTCCCATTTTTACCCCAAATACAGATTGCAGAATCACATYGGTTACACATCCACATTTTTACATAATGCCATATTAGTAACTTGTATTCTGCTACCTTTCCTATCCTCTACTATCCCCCCTCCCCTCCCCTCCCATCTTCTCTCTCTACCCCATCTACTGTAATTCATTTCTCTCCTTGTTTTTTTTTCCCATTCCCCTCACAACCTCTTATATGTAATTTTGTATAACAATGAGGGTCTCCTTCCATTTCCATGCAATTTCCCTTTTCTCTCCCTTTCCCTCTCACCTCATGAATCTGTTAAATGTTAATCTTTTCCTCCTGCTCTTCCTCCCTGCTCTGTTCTTAGTTGCTCTCATTTGTGAACTTTTTTTGATTGTTTCCACTTCAGTATACATATTCAAGATCATTTTTATAAATCACAATAATGAGAAGATGATTTAGGTGTTGATGCTGTACCAATCCTCGGGGCCCAGCTTTATAATTCCCTAGGTCTGGGATATTTGGTCAGTTACTACTCTGTCTTGAGCCACCATTATATCTCGTCTTAAATAGGCTAATAGTTTGATGATATGCATAATACATGTACATACCCTGTTGCTCTCAAATGCCAGAGCTTGTAATACCTCCAGTCCCCTAGTAGTTGGCRTCTAGCTTCCAGGGAGGGCACCTAGTGGTAATGTGAGTGGTAAAGGTGAGTGGGTGGTAATCAGTTGAGCCAAATAAAATCTAGCTGTAAATATTGCCAGACTGAGTGACACCTGGATTGTTATAAAAGAAAGTGGGTAAGAGTCAAAAATGGCTAATACTTATCAAACAGTTATACCAGGCACTGTAAAGTGACATGTGCATTAACTAATTTAATCCCTAGAGCCTTATAAGATAGATATTTTTTGCAGATGTGCGACACAACCAGAAATTAAAAGATGGATTTGGAAACAACTAATCTGCATTCAGTGTACTCTTTTAGCCGTTGCTTTTTTTTTTTTTCCCCTTTTGGTAACAATACAGTGCACAAAGGGCAGAGATCTAATATTAATAGGATAATTCTTCATTCTGATGTTTGTTGTTGTTGCACTTTTTAYGGCTTTCCTACAAAGGAGAGAGGGGATGAAAGACTAGACAATTTTAAAATGCTCGAACTTCATATAAGGTAGAGAATGTGACATTAAGCATTCAGTTTAGAAGGAAACACTTGGTAATAAAAGGGACTATGGGYCCAGCGTGGTGATACACACCTTAATCCTTGTGACTTGGGAGGCTGAGGCAGGAGGATCTAAGTTCAAAGCCAGCTTCAGCAACTTGGTAAGACCATGTCTCAAAAAATAAAAAGGGCTAGGGATGTAGCTCATTGGTTAAGCACCCCTGGGTTCAATCTCTGGTACCAAAAACAAAAAAGATGAGACTATGGAAAAGGTAAGCCAGGAACAGTATTCTTCCAGGAAAAAGTACTAAAATATACTGTAAACCCTTAGTTTATGAGATTTTTATTTATTTATTTATTTWWKTWKTTKRTKGA